TTATCCGCGCTACTAAGAAATAAAGAAACCAAGTAAACCCATAGATATACATAAAAGTAGTCTAATACATCACATATCGGGGCAGCAGTGGGATAGCAAAATCCATAGGGCTGCCATCTGATGGGAACAAAATTAGGTGAAGGAGTGGCTCTTCTTCACAATCACCACTCTAGTAACACTGATGTTGCTCCCTAAATGTCTGCCTTTTGGATTATTAACATACTTTGTAAGATACGAGGAGCTCAGCAAAAGAGAAGTGGATAGGTAGTGGGGTAAATAAGGCCTCTCCTTTCTCTGATCATTGAGCTTCAAAAACCCTTGGAAGAAAAAGAAGAGACAGGGCAGGACTTTCTGGGTTCGTCTGTCCTCCTGGGATAGCCTGGCCCCATCCATGAGAGGAAGAATCAGGGAATGAGTGAGTATGAGGAAGGCTGTTGTCCGCCAGCTTTGGGAGTGGAGAGCAGCAGGAATCCAAGGATTCTTCTTCCTTTTAACTTCCAAAGCAGAAGGCTGTTGTTAGATTGGGAGATGGCAGCCTCTAGCTTCAGGAGTGGGATTCAGGAGGAATCCAGGGATTCTGCTTCAGGAACTATGAGGACAAACAATTCCTGGCTTCTTTCTGCACCCCATTCCCAAAGCTGAAGACTGCTACTTCCCATTCTAACATGGGTGGAGAAAGAGAGAGATTTTAACTATTGGAGCTGCTCCAAGACAAAAGACTGTTTGCAAGAATTGACCTCAGATACTCCTCCCCCTCATTCCCCAGAGATGTGCTTTCCCTACACAGATTCAAGTGTTTCTTCTGCTACCTCTTCTCTCGGCCTGTCCAACAAAAGAAAGTAGATACAGCAGTGCAACTCCAACCTGCCAGTCAAGTCCTGGCAAAGCTCACAAAGCTTAAGCAGGGTCCGAAAGTTGAAAGCTCTTTTTTTGCCACCACTTCTGCCTTGCCACCACGTGCTCTAACACAGGGGTAGGCAACCTTTCCCCTGTAAGGGCCGAGGCACTTCAGCTCCCAGAATCCCAGGAGCTATTGGCCA